TTTTCTATTGGAATATGACGACTCAAACAACTAGCAAAGAAGAAAAATTGCTCTATGAAATGGAAGAGATAAAGAAGATACACAGCAACAATCTCCCAGCATACAAGTGTGGTTTATGGGCGGAAATGATTGTAAGAACCACCGAAGGCTAACTTCCATACAGGAAAACCTTGAACAGGATAGGAACAGACAAGAAAGTTAGTTCCTAATGAGAGCTTATTTTATGTCTGTTCCTATAGAAGATTCTCTTGAATGAAAGCTATAGCTATAAGCCTATAGGTTTAACCATACATTTCAACAACTAATACTGCATGTAGTGAGACGTTTGAACTTTATAAATACCAATGTTTCAACTTTTATAGATAGTAGGAACTGCGACAAGAAATAAAATTCCCAACGTACCTATGTTTAATGCAAACCCAGCAGCAAAACGCCCAAGAATGGAAAAACTTTATTTAAACAGGGTGGCCCTTTCTGCGTGAAGGCTGGTATCCATAGGGGCCCTGTGTTTAGATATAAGCTATTTATAGGAATTACATTTTAAGGTATGATATATAAAAGTACAAAATATTGTTGCAATCAGTTCCGTCACTTCCATGTTCCACATCAATAAGAAAGCTCATTACACACAATTCATACGAGACGTGCGAAAGTGTGAATGGACTCAGCCTTCATCACATGATCAGGGAGCATATTATAAACCTGCACCCAACTGAAGATAAAAGTATTTTTTCCAAAATTATATTTAACTTTGGGAAGTTTTAGCCTATTTTTGTGTCTAGTATTGTAGCTATGTACATTACTAAATTTCTTAAAATAATTTAAAAAATAATTCGGGACTAAAGAATGTAGACATTTGTAAACTAATATAGCTTTATGGTGCAAGAGTTTGCCTTTTTAACCAAATGGTTGTATTTAAATGAGGGTTGTTCTGAAGACCAACCACTAGGCGATTGCCGGGGGCACCTTGTAATCATTTTTGTCATTACGGTTTACATGCAAGTTTTTCATTTTTGTATCTGCGCATAGCGCAGATATATTGCTATCGCGTCAGTCAGTAAAGTGAAGTAAAGTAAAGTAAGTAAGTTAAGTTGTTAACTCGTTAAGTCCGTCAGCCTTGTTTTGAAGACCTGTTCACAGGCTAGAACAGCTTTAAAACAAGATGGCGTCTTTCGAAATCTTTCAAGAGAAGTATTAGTATTAATCGTGGTATTAATAGACTTTATCCTGACTTTATTTTGATAAAATCTTCTTCTATAGCAGTCTTGCACTGATATAACTCTTACAGTCAAACCGGATGTTCTGTTCCCATGAGTATTGCAACATTGCAATCAATCTTGCAATGTTGATTGCAAATTGTTCCGAGCAAATTACACGCAAGTATGCAACTGTCATTTTTTCAAGTTCCTATCACTCCCATGTTGGGTCAAGAGAATAACAAATCAAAAGGACTAATATCTTGCCTACCACTTGACAAATTAAAGGTAAACTGGAATGTATAGAGAATATTTATACATGGTTGTGCGGAAATATGTAATTTATTTCGAGTGTTGAAGAGAATATTGCTAACGAGTGAGCGTAGCAAATTGCAAGTTGTTCCATTATGTGATTTAACTCATTAACGCCCAATGCGCCCGTATGCGCCCTGAGATTGACAAGTGGGTAACGGACAATGCGCCCGAATGCGCCCTGGCATGACACCTTAACTTGCGGGCATGATATTTGAGCACGTGTTTATTGGGTTGCCTAGCAACGGATACGAAAATAGAACGTGAAATTCGAGCTTTTCAACGGTGTATCATGCAAGAAAATCGGTCAGAAACTCGCAAAGTTTTTCAAGTTTAAAATCTTAGTTTTCCAAAAATAATGAATAATGGCGATTCTGTTACAAAGAAAGATTTTACAGCAAGTTTTAAAAGCAAGAAAAGAAGAGGTTTCTGAATCAACTACAACGAAAATTTGGCATGAAAGGAAAGCGAATGTATTGACGTTTTGGGGCCAAGTTTTTCTGTGAACCATGCGCGAGATTTTCAGCCAAAAAGATGAGGATTTCTCCAAACTTTATTAAAAATAGAAGTCGGAAATCACAAGAAAGATGAACACGGAACACAAGTGAGCAGATACGATTTTTTAAAGGGTATTTTTGAGTAGAAATATGCGATCAAACACTCACAAAATTCGACTGCATTAATGTTGGTTGAATCTAGTTTAAAGTTATCTTTTTAGACGAACTGTTTATGCAAATTTGGGCACAATTTCGACTGTTTTCGTAACCCCATTGTTGGTCTTCTTGTTCAAGTTGTTATTTTAGCTAAAGTATGTTTCAAACGACACCAGATTAAATTACTGTGTGCGTACGTGCCCTATTTGGCAAGAATACTTCGAGTATTAAATTACACTAAGTAAGTAGGGTACTCCAAAATCACTGTTATATCTATTTTCATCAATTTAGTCTTAAAATGACAACTCGTTTCAGACATATTGTGGTTTGAAATAAGTGTATTGAATTAATGCGCTTGCTTGCCGCGTGCGAATTCTCAAAAAGTCCGCACTTGAGTTCTAAAGCTTTTAAAATGCTTTTTGTATTGGGTTTTATATCCCCATAAAACTTTAAATCGATAAGGCAGATAGTAATGTTGATCCAACCTCATTTTCTAGTAACTACATGTTGAATCAGAAGGAAAAGTTATCAAAATTTGGTCGCGACGGTTGTTTGCCGTTGTTGTCGCTTCTCTCTGAAATGGCTTCCTTTGCGGGAAGCCATGAAACTGAAGTCCCAACAAAAACATAATTTAGCCGTCCTTTCGAGCCCATTGCTCGCTTATTTATCATGAAATCGTTTCACTAGAACATTTTTAATAATGTCTATGGGAAACTTTGTAGTTTTCTGAACTAAAAGTTTATGGTTTTGAGGTGTTTATTTTATAAAATAGCACGCGCGACAAAATGGCACTAATGTGGTTTCTCATGTCTGACAAACAACCAAAGATGAAAGTCCTTATTTCACCCTTTTATAGCTATGTTGAATACCTGAATATTAGGTTATCTTTTTCATTTGAGCATACAGATAACATTTCTACACAATTAGTCCTAATGAAAGCTTATTTCAAACTAAAAAAAAGCGATTGTTTTTCAGAGCCAGACTTCAAAAGAGAACGCGTGTCTGACATTTTATAGCAGCCTACATTGGCGCGCAAAATAATTTTGGCTAAAAACCGTTTCTTTCCAAACAGAAACATGAGAAAATTGAGCTAAAAGGCTTACCTGATGTATGTTTAAAATGTTTTTCTCTTTATGGTGTTTTTCAGTGCTTTGAGTAGAGAAGTGAATAACTTTTGGTTTTGTCACCGCAATTTGCCTTTGAAAATGTCGGCTGTCATTGTCTGTGTTAAAAACACCTCAGAAAATTCCTATTTTCTCACCTTCCCATCCTTGGTTTATATTGAAAACAAATAGATTCTAGTACCGTATGTCCTTTTAAATATATTTGAGGTAATTAAAAACTCCAAAGATGTACAAGCACTGTGTTTTGGCTTGCACACTTTGTTGAATTTTAACACTTAGTTACTGTTCTAAATTTCATGTTGTAAACATCTTGCCCAAAAAAGCAAAGGAGTATTTTTTATAATTTTTGATCATTTTCTAATTCATATCCCAATAGATGAAAATTGGTTATAATATAGATATGTACTAATTTAGTAAATAATTTTTTTTTTGGTTTTTATATAAATATATGGAGATATTGCCCCTTTAGGTGATGAGTGACATGAAAAAAATAGTGTCACTGGTTTACAAATAAAAATTCTCATTGAAAAAACTAATGATATATATAGGTATGCAAGTTCATTTAAACTAAATTTGGTCAATCATATATTAATAATATTTGGTTGAAAAGACCAGATTTATTCATGCAACTGTTTCTGAGATATTGCCATTTTGGTGAAAGCTCTTGAATTCAGTCACGTATTCGCCATATTGCTTGGACGTTAGGGGGGTAGAAACATTGTAACAGCTTGCGCGTTAATGAGTTAATAATCTAAATTTTTGAGTAATTAGGTCATGGACATATTGTAATTATTATGAGTATTTACTATTTTATCTTCGTATCAAGCCAAATATATAGCATTGCGAGCTTTAATTGCCAATTGGTATTAAACTGTGCCAGTTTGAGAACATATTATGTTTACATATTTAATTTAACTACCGCCAAATAAATCCCTCTTTGGCACTGAATTTTGCATGTTATTTAGTATTTTTGTATCACGTTATGATTAAAATGGACATATTTCTTGAATAATACTTTTAATCTGTCAAATGATAGGAAAAATATTAGTCCTCATAATTTGTTTTGGATTTGTTACATTTTGTGAAAGATAGGGGTACCAAAGCCTTGGGCGTATTAAAATACAAAATTAGCCTGTGACAGTATGCTCCTAATTTTACTTCATATTCGATTTGAACAACACAAGTTCTACAACAAAAACGTACACGATGTACAGTGCAAATATAAAACGTCATATTTATAGAATGATATTTGATTGACATGTTTACGCCACGCATTTCATACACACGGGTTTTCCCTGAGTTTTTATAATCAGGACTTGCATTTCCTGATGAACTGATATACTTTATTATTATTATTTATATTAGGTTGAACAGTTTAAGTTAGGATTAATAAGGACACTTAGGATTAGTCACGGACAGTAGATACATTGAGGGATACTGTGGGATAAAGTAGGATATGGGAGAAGACAAGATGGCGGCGTAAACAAAATGTAAGCTATTTCGAAAAGACAAAATTATAACGTTTAAAGACTAAAATATATTTGGCGACGAGGATTAAAAAGCTAAAACAAAAAGAAAACCAGTCACTACGCACTAATACACACATTCTAATACAATTCCGGCCTCTACACACCTCGTAAGAAGACAAATTCATCGGCCACGTAAGTGAATATATCGTGTTAATATATCATATAAACATCAACATCAAAACTACAATGGCTAGTGGCAATACACTTCACTTCGACCCAGATCTTCACCCAGACGATACTCTAAAAGCGTTTAATTACTTTATACAATCATTCTACCTACGCTACGAAGCACAATACTCTGATCCACCAAAAGTGTCTATTGACGCTGCAATTGAACGATGGAAACTAGCCAACGAAGAAGCCAAACCAACTCTGGAACAATACGATACGCTCAGGAATGAGTGAAGATCAAAAGATCGAGTTGCAAAATTTCTTGGAATGTTCTCTTCGAGACGAATGTACGCGGATTGGCAAGTTGCCGAACCCGATGTAACAAAAAGAGCACAGGCGACATGGGAGTATTTTGTTGCCCAAATCCAAGCATATTATAAGCCAACAGAAAACCTTACACTTAAGAATCACAAGTTTCGCACACTTACTCAAGCTACACAAGAGGCATTCCCTGCTTTCTGTAATCGTGTGTACAAAGAAGCCCAACACTGCAACTTCAAATGCCAAAATGATGACTGCACGGCAGAAGATACAGCAATACAAGATCAGATAATTATCGGGACAATCCATGACAAGATCAGAGAAGAAGCCCTCAAGAACTCTTGGGACTTACCAAAACTATGCAAAGAAGGAATGCAAATCGAAAGTGCAACTAAAGGGGTTAATGAGTTAAATAA